TGTGATGCTGGGATTAAGGGTGGGTGATTACTAAATTAGTCCACTGATTGGTTTGGCATAGTCTGGGTATGGATAACAGGAAGGCCCACCCTGGTGTGAGTGCTACCTATCCTGTGGGAAGAATATAAGAGACAGAGAGAGGATTGTTCTAATTACTTACTGCTGGCTGCTCTCTGCCTACCCTGTTTGCCATGGACTGCCATGCCTCCACTGTGATGTCCCTTTGTCATGCCACCTTGCCTTGGAGCCAGGCAAATATGGACTGACACCTCTACAAACTATAAGCAAAATAAACCTTTCCTTCTTTGAGTGTCAAGTATTTTTGTCTCAGCAATAAGAAAAATAACCAAGACAGTCTATTACTTTTTTTTTTTTTTGAGAGTCTCACTATATGGTTCAGACTGGCCTTGAACTCACTATGTAACCCAGGTTGACCCTGAACATGCAATGATCTTCCTGCTCCAGCTTTTAGAGTTCTGAAATTACAGGCATGTGCCACCATGCCCAGTATAAATTTATGAAGTTAACAACTATATTCTAAGAAAATAGTCTTATATTGCAATGAAGTATTAAGGGCTGATCCTAAAATGGCTCAAAAAATACAAAAAGAGAGCAAGTGAAAACAAGAGAATGAGAAAGGAGGAAGAAAGAAGAGATAAGAAAAGAAAGTGAGCAAATAATAAAGCAAATAGGGCAAAATTTTAACAGTAGGTGAATCTGAATAAAAATATAAAAATGTTCTTTGCATTAATTTTGCAACATTTTATAAGCTTCAAATTACTTCTAAACAAGTAAAATACATTTATTCAGCTATTTTTGTACTATCCAATACAGTGCCCTAGCTATGAGGCTTCTGACCCACTGATATATAGTGAACACAAAAATGAACCATTACTATAAAATATACACATTTCAAAGATTTAATGCAAAAGAATAAAATATCTCAATAAATTTTATATTGACTGGATGTAGAAATATTTTAAACATATTGGGTAATTGAAATAATATTTTTACAACTAACTTTACTTTCTCCTTTTTACTTTTTTAAAATATGACTACTGGAAATCTGAACTTCCATGCATGACTCATGTTTACATTGGACAGAGCTGAACTAGACAGTCAAGCAAAACCAGTGTTGGGCTTCACAGGACTCTGCAAATTTCTCAATTTCATATTGCTGTAAGAACAACTCTATCTCTAAAAACCACTTGAGTTTAAGTAACTTAAAGATAGAGAGGGTGTCTATCCACTGCTATATTCCCAGTGTTTAGTATTATACTGGTATCAAGTGTTACAAATAGTTGTTAAAAGACACTATACTTAAGAAAGAAGGGAGATCAGAAACAATGAACTCATTCCCATTTCTCAATCTTTGCTTGCACAACTCTCTCCTGCCATGAAACTTTTTCTCTTCCTCTCTGAATCCTCACATTCTTCAAAACCCCATCTCTGGCCAGTTTCCCTCAAGGTTACTCCCCACTGGCAGTGATTCATTCCAACTCCTTCTCCTCTGCAGTGTAGTCTTCCCTGTAGGGAGAGTTTCCTCCAGAACTTCACATATAAGCTCCTTGAGCAGAACTTGGGTCTCCTTACTTAAGCGGTCTCTTTCACAGCAACTAGCAGAGTATTAGCCATACCAGTCAGCTAAGCAATGGGGGAGGAAGGGGTGTACGGTGCCAAGATAAGGGAAAGGATTTAAAGCCACAAAAATTTGACTGTAGTCTCCAGTAGTCTTTGACATATACCAACCACACTGTCTTAGATAAATCACTTAATGGATAAATCACCATCTTTCTACTTGATTTTGAAACTTTCTACTTCACTTTTAAAATCAGACCAACCTGATGAACATAAAAGAAAGCCTTCTCTTTCTGTAATTCTGGAATAATTGAATCCTGTCTTTAGTTATGTGCTTATATTCACTAGTAAAAGCAAATTTAACATACGACTCTTAAATTATAAGAAACAAAAGTCAAAGTTCACAAACCAGCCAAGATACTAAATATTGACCACTTTTCTGGCCATTAAGCATTTTAAATTCAAGTTTTTCTTCAAGAACTATTAAGCAAAATATTCTATCCACATATACTGGAGCTATCTCAATACAATTATTGTTTTCCCAGATCTCAAGTCTCAAGAGTGGCATCTTTCTAATGAAGAAGAGAGGGAAGAATGGATGAGAGGAAGGAAGGACAAACAAGAGAAACAAAAACCAAATTTCTGTAAAGTACCCTGAAAATTTATTGGCAATGTTCAGACTCTGCATTATAATATAAATGTATTATCCTTCTACTTTCAAAAATATTATTTAGCCAGGTGTGATGATCACACCTGTAATCTCAGCACCTGGGAGGCTGAAGCAGGAGATCCCTGTGAGTTTGAGGGCAGCCTGGGTTACATGCAGAGTTCAAGGCCAGCCTGTCTCAAAAAATCAATCAATAAATAAATAATACATTATTCTAAAGACACTATTAAAATGAGAAGATAATCTGAAAACAAAATGTTAAAAAAAATAACTTTAAAGCATGGAGACCATTTCAAACAACCATTTAAATCAGCAATTATAGTTTTAACCTGTATTTTAATACCAATGCTGAGAAATAAGGTTATCAAGAAAGGTACATTAAATTGGTTAAATACTTGTTAGTATGGTGTTGAACTACTAACCTAAATTAAAAACGGTAAAATAGTACTAATTAAATGTAAAATACTTGGAGTATATATGAGCTATAGAGTTAAGAGAATACATATTTAGATTCTAAACTAATGATGCAAAACACATTAAATGGTAAAATACTTGTTAGTATACGCTACCCATAGAGTTAGTAAAATATATATTCTAATTTCTAAGCTAGTAAAGCAAACCACAAGATCTCTAAGACTTTTAACAAACTGTGCCCATTAAATGCTGAGCATTAACACTGACTCATCACAAGATAAAAGTCAAAGCCCTTCAAAAGGACTCTAGATCTTATCCTAATTAAGTCTCTAGCTACCAGGGCAGTCTCATTTCCCACAAATCTCTGGATATCATCTCACTTCCTAAATTTAAGTGCTCACCCTCCTAATACTACCTGCCCCTTTTATGACTCCATACCTTTGCCATTTACTGTTCCTTCACCTGCCCTGCCCTTCCTTCTTTGGCTGTAAATACATCCTCCCCATGAAGAATTCCTGATTTCATCTACACTCTCCCACTACGTGCCTCCCAGGGCACTTTTCGCTCTGCTACCAGGTATTATAATTAAGCTTGAATGTCCACTTCCCCACCCAGGCTGTGAGTTCCAAATGGGAGGACCCTAGACCTTACTGAGCTGTTTCCCAGTCCTTACCATAATGCCTGGCATTTACTAAACTCAATGTTTAAATATACTGAATAGAAGAAAGTTAATGCAGAGAAACACTTTCCTGTTAAAGAATGCATATATTTAATGCAAGGGTTCTCAACTATGAGCAATTTTGTCCCAAGGAGACAGCCGGTGATAGTTTTAGTTGTCACAGTAGGGAGGAAGAGATTTGAGTGACTGCAACTAGCAATGCTCAGGGCAGCTCCAACAACAAATTATCTGGTCACAAGCAACAATGCCAAAATTAAACTCAGTCATCAACTTATTACTTATACGATGATTCAATAACACATCTGAGCAATAATCACAATAAATTCCGACTTAGTAGTTTCACCTGAAACTTTAACAGTGATATGGATGCACTAGCACTAAAAATAACCTCTGTATCCTCAGTGCTTAACTTTAAATCAAAGGTCCTAGAATGCATCCTGTATTTCTCAAAAACTGTAACTACCAGAAGCTATAATATTTTCTTAAACTTTAAAGCAAACCACAGGCAAAGTAAGTTTCACTTGTGGAACTATGACACAGTCTGAGACATGAGGTAATCAGTTCCTTAGGTCTGATAAAAGAAGGATCGCAAGTAAATCAGGCACAGATGTCTTTACTGTTTAACAAAGGAACTGAAGGAGACAGTAGAAGGCATGCCCTTCCTTCTGCCAAATCACTGCTTATCGGGATTTTGAAAAACTAAGAAAACACTGTGGGGGAAAAAACTCAAACCTTGTCACAAGGGTTCAGATCAGGAGCTGTTTCTCCCCTTAGAAATGACAAGTTCCACATGACTTTAACATGAGAAAAACGCTGCACATTAACTCGCAGCAGGGCGTGGGGCCATTGAGCACTCTGGGAAATTGAGGCCAGAGGATCCCAAGTTCGAGCCCGGCCTGAACAGTTTAAAAGGTGTTGAGGACCTAACTCTCTGTGAAGGCCCTGAATCTTGGATCTGTAGCGCTGCAAAATAGAGTTCACTAACTCTTAACAGGCTACGAGAGTTTACGTTATCCTAGGAACTGATTCCTAAACAACACACCCCCTGCTTTCCAGTGCTTTCTAGTTCTAAGATTTTTCCAGATTCCGGATTAGCAACAGTACTAGCAGAAACCAAAGAGGCACATGCCATTTGATAACACTTAATGAAGGTAGACTCACTCACGCATAGCTAAAATAAGGTCCTGGGGCTCAGAAGGGGAAAACGCACTTTTAATTTAAGAAAAAAAGAAAGTTTCCAGCGGTGACAGCAGCTCCCTTCTCAGCTGACTTTCCGGTACGTGTCAGCCCCACGGCGGGCCCATGCCAGGCGGCTCCCGCCCTCGGCGCTGTCCAGGGCCACGCGTGCAGGTGCGCGGGGCCGGGCCGGACCGGGGCCAGACCGGGGCCGAGCCGGACCGGGCCCGGAGGAGGTGTGCAGCCCGCGGGGTCCTGGCTGGGGCGCCGCCTTCGCACGCCCGCTCGCGGAGCGGGAGGCCGCGCGGGCGCCACACCCTCTGGCCCCGGCCACAGCCCCGCGCAGTCACCGGGTGCCTGCGCCGGACGACCAGGCCTCAGCCCGGCTGCGGGGCCTACAGCAGGAAGGCGCCGCCCTCCGCCCTGAGGCCCGCCGCCCCGCGCCGCTCTCGCTCACGTGTCGCCGGACGACGGCTTCACCCTTACCCTCTGCAAAATCCTCCTCAACATGGCTCACGCCGCCGGCGCCGCCGCCGCCCAGACGCTCGGGACCCCGTGCGGGCTCCTCACTGCTCGCGGGCCCGGGGGGCACAGGGCAGCAAGTCGGGCGAGGCTGTGGCGGCGGCCGCGAAGGGTGCCCCGACTTTCCCACAGGCGGTGAGACGGAGAGAGCGCGAGCGCGACGGCGACGCGGTAGCCTGCGAGCGCCCGCCCGCCGGGCCGCCCCCGTAACTGACAGCGGGGCGGGCCCGCCCGCGGCCGCCGAGGGGCGGAGCCGAGGACGCCCCGCCCCCTCAGGCCTGTCCACCGCGGGGGGGCGGGGCAAAAGGGGCCGTCCCCGAGTCTGCGGCCAATCGGAAGCGGCAATGGCGTGGGCGGCTGCGTGACCGACAGACGACGGGACGCTGGCTCGGCGGCTCCTTCCGGCGATCTGGGGACGCCGGGCCGCGGAGCTCACGCCCGGGCTCCGTCAGAAGGCCGCGCCCGCGTGCTGCTGGCGTTCTCGCCTCCGGGGCCGGGGAGCCTTGGGGTCCTGGGTGTTGGCGGGAGGAGGGGGCGCCTACGTGTTGCTCCCGGCGGCGGCGATTCAGCCCGTTTTTAAAATCTGTCAGTGCGCCCCTTCCTGTGGCCGCTCCGGTTTGCCTGGGGACACCGCAGGGAGCTCGAGCCAGATCCAGATTTGTGCAGTGACAGCTCAGCCTAAGCCCACAAGGGAGGGAAACGCAGAGCTACGTCCTTAGTTGGGCTGCGGGGCTGCCTCTGCTTTTCCAAACCCTTCCGCCTTCCTGCTTCTCAACACCACCACAGGCAGTAAAGAACCGGGCAAAGGGACGAGCAGGAGCTGGAATCTGAATTGGCAGAAGTTTGGGGTTGTCCTTTTGGACCGTGATAATGTTACCGGGCTGGTGTCGTTAACGTGTGGCATTTTCCGAAGCCCATGCTTAGCCTCTTAGGAGGAATGTGAAGCCCTATTCTTTTAATAGATATATCAGTAAACCGTCATGAATGCCTGTGTTTTACAGATTCAGAAAAAAAGATCGCAGATTATCACGTGTCCAAACAAGACTTGGAACTGACCTCGAGGCAGAAGGTAACTGTTTAAACTTGAAAATCAAAGCTCGTGTGCCCTCCCATTTTGCCAAGAGACTGACCTTTCACCCTGGGCTGGAAGGGCTCGGGGAGAAGGCTTCATGTTGCTGAAATAAGGAAGGAGAAGGAATAACGGGATTAACCTTCCCCAGGCTGGTCGAAGCACACACGGAAGTCTATGAAGTTTATTAGAAAAATACGCTGAACACTTGTGGCAGACTGTTATTTTCAAATGAGTTAATGTGAAAGTATTTTCTAAACTGTAAAAGATTATATAATATGTATTTCTATCCCACGTATATGTTATGTTTTTACTCGACATTCGCCTCTGTACTGCCCACAACTAATACATTAATTGTTATTGATAAGGCACTTACAGAGCAAACCCTTTTCCATCTTCTTAGACACAAGCTTTATTTTCAGGCAATATGAGACACAGTCTCAATGACACAGGATGATAAAAGTGGATTGTTTTGTTTTTGAGAATTTACTTTAAAGCTCTTTATTAGTGGCATGCGCCATGCCCCTCTTCCTGGAATTCTTACATAGAGTCTTTTCATTAATATAGTAGGCTCTACTGCTTATTTAGACAGGTTGTTCAGAAATCTTTGTACTCCCCTGCAGTTTATAATTCCATCACTGGACTGGAGAACTTAATTACTCCTAAAGAAAATAAGCAGTGGTAGAGACATAATCATGTAAGAATGCCCTTCACTAATCTTAAACATAGCAATCGTGCTTGTCCTAGTCATTTGTGACCGCTAATTCCTCCTCATTCACCTCACCTTTAAATTAACATTCCCACAATCATGGCTTCTTTGACCCCCACCAAGACCTCCAATCCACAGATTCTTTTACTTTCTTTAAATCAGTTCCCACCTGCATACTTCAAAACCCCCTCTTGAAATGCATGAGCTAACTTGAAGTTTCCCCTTGTAGACATGCTTGATTCTCCACTTACATTTTTCACCTAGCATAGTCTGAGACTGCTGTGCTACACAGGAGCAGCTGCTTATCACTAGAGATGCGCATGTATAACAGGGCTATGGAGCTCCTTTCACATGTACAGCTGCAAAACTCAGGTCCTTGACATGCACGAAAGAGGAAGAATAGAAAGGAAGTGGGGAATGGAAGACACGGGAAAGAAAGGGAGAGAGAAAGAAGGAAAGGAAAGAGGGAGGAAAGAAGGGAGGGAGAAAAAGACAAGTTTCTGACAAGCTTTTTGGTTGTACAATAATTAGTTAAGTCTTCCAAAGCATATGGACCCTTTTGCTCAGAGTGCAGTGATTTAAAATGTACTTACTTTCTTTGACTTTTCTTCCCACCAAAAGATAGAATCTAATTCCCCTCCCCTTGAAAGTGGGCAGGACTTAGTGGCCTGTTTCAAATGACTAGAATGTGGTGGAGCTGACAGGGCATGACTTTTGAAACCAGCATAGAGCTGTTTAACAAAAATGCGTGGAATGTTTTAATATCTCAGTATGCCTCCCAAAATGTCTTTTTTGGAAAATCACGTGCAATAAATAAATTTCATTAGTTCCTTATTGTGACTGTAAAGAGATACACAATTTTAAGTAAAAGTAGCTTTTTTTATTAATGTTATTTGTATTGACAAAATACTTACATGTTTGTCAGGTAATGTGATGATTTCAAGTCCATGTCATGGGTAATGATCAAATCAAGGATACTCATTGTTTCTTTATGACGTACACTCAAAATCCACCCTTCTATTTTGAGATATACAATACATTCTCATGAACTCTGTTTACCCTGATGTGCTGTAGAACTCCAGAATGTATTCTTCCTGTGTACCTTTATGACTATACCTGTTGACCAACCACCCTCTTCTTCCTCCCCTCATCTGTCATCTCTATAGTTCTATTCTAAAATTTTAATAGACCAATTGTTTTTTTTTTAGATTGCAAAGATTGTGGCCACATGGTGTTTATTTGTCTAGACCTGCACACTTTTTAAGACGGTATGTTTCTGTTAGCTGGGTGTGGTGGTACAGGTCTGTAATCCCAGCACTCTGGAAAACTGAGGCAGGAGGATCACAAGTAGATGCTTGGCTTGCACAAGGTAGCAACTTAGTGAGACCTTGTTTCAAGATAAAAAATAGAAAAGGTGTTGAAGGTGTTGCTCAGTAGGAAGGCCCTGAGTTCAAGCCCCGATATCAAAAATAAATTAATAAGAATGTATCTATCTCTTGTTTCCCTTTCTTAATATTAAAAAGTTAACTGCTCTGCCCAATTATGTGATTGAGAGAAAGACTCTAGTCTGGTTCTCAACATATAACATAACAAAAGGAAGTCACGCCCAATTGTGTAGAAAGTTTAGATCTACATCTCCTACTTCCTTACGCTATATCATATCATATATAAATGGGTGAAGTCTCCAATGTCGAGGTCCTCTCTATAATAGAACCTTACAATTTCCCTTGCTGCAGTCAACCCAGTTGCAGCAACAAGAAGGCCAATCTGGAAAAACACAGTGGCAGGATTTACAGTGGTACAGTAAAGCAGGCGCTAAAACACATACAGCGGCCCCCTGGACCATCCGGTCGTCCGTCAGAGTCATTCAACTTTGAACAGACTTTGCAGCATGCACCCAGAAGAGTGACGGCTATCACTGATTTTAATGATTTTGGCTAAGCAAGATGGGCTACACCCGGGCTTAGAATTACTATAATCATCTATCACCCCACATTTGCAAAGGATTTTCAGTCACAGTGATTTTTGTTGGCCTGTTATCTATTTGCTGGTGATCTCCAAGGCCAGCATAGATCTCTTCTGAATATTAAACCTGACTCTTCAACAGTCTGTATTGAGCGAATCCATTTAGATCTCTCAGGTTCAGTGCAAAACGTCTCATCTTGAAGTAGAATGCATCATCTCCCCTCTCTGTACACCATTCCTTCCCTTTCCTACAAACTTCTAGGATGCTATCCAAGCGGCTGCCACCACCACGCCCAAATCAGAAATCTGAAGACCGGCTTTATCTGTTCACTTTTTGCTTCTACTCATATCCAAGTAATGAGCCCATCTGATAAATTCTATCTCACTACACTCCATTTTTTGTACCACTTCTTTTTAACCCAGATGACTAACTCTCCTCTCTCCTTTTGATCTCACATCCCTCCAACTCATTCTCCACTTTGTAATCAAAATAATCTGGCTGAGCCAGACCTGGTGGTGTGTGCCTATAATGCTAGCACTAGCGAGACTGAGGCAGGAAGATTGCTGTGAGTTGAGGGCCACCCTGGCCTACGGGGTAAGTTCAAAGCCAGCCTAGACTGCAGAGTAAGACCCTGTCTCCAAACAAAATAAGATCAAAAAAAGAATATATGTTGTTAAAGCACAAATCTGATCTTCACTACTCTGCTTAAAATTCTCTCCGAGCTCCCTATTTCCAGGACACACACCCAAACTCCTTATTGTGATGTTTCAAGGATTCCGTGTGCTCTTATCCCAGATATGGTCCTATTCTCATTTCTTGACATTATTTCTTTACACTGTGCACGTCAGGCATGCTGAATTACCACAGTGTTCTGAACTCATCGCAGTCTCTCCCTCACCCTGAACCATTATATATGAGAGGGGTGATCAGATAGTATAGTGAATGTTAAAATAAAAAAGAACTAATCACAGTAAAAGATGCATTGCCGAGAATGGTGGGGCAAGCAGGTTCAAAGCGAGGGAGGATAAAGCAAGAGGAATTAATGACAATGTACTTTCATTGTAATAATTATTTAAATATTCACCTAATTCTTTGATCACCCTTTGCTGATAAAACATTTACAGAAATTTCTGTCTAATGAAAATGTTATGGTGTGTCCTGGTCTGCCTTATTCGTGGGAAGTGATACTGTGTGATTTGTGCTCTTCCCCTTAGTCAATTTCAGGACCCCTCCACAGTCTAACTAAAGACACAAAGGACGACTCCGGAACTGTTTCAGAAAGTAGCCAGAACAATGGCTAAGTACATTCTAGCTGAGGGAAACTGTTTTGAGAAGGATTATTGGCAATGTATCTTTACTGTCATCCTTAAAAATTGTTACTCATCCTATTTTTGATCATACCACATATGCCATTTCCATATGCTGGAGCATTCCTGCATTCAGCCTCTCTTTACCAGGCTAAGTGTTACTCATCCCCAAGCCTTCCAGTCCCAAGCTAAGCTACATGGTCTAGGTACACTTACATTAGCTACTCAACCCTATTATAAAATAGAAAAGGCCTTGGATCACAGACACAAAACATTGACCACACAAGGAGTTCGTCACTGTGGTTCAACATGCAACCGCCTCTTCCTCTTCATCCAAAAGCGTCCTCCCAGCAGTGTTTGATGGCAAATATTATCCTTCAAGTTTGAATCTCATGTAATTTTGTCTTTAAAGAACGAAGGCACTGGTGCCATTTTTGCAGCCATGAGAATTTTAAGGCCCATTATAAATTAGTGAAATGGCCATTCAATCTATAAAACTGGACACAGCGAGACTGCCAAGAGAAGACCTTAGTTTCAGCATGCTGACAAAAACTCAGGTTTTGAGCCTACAAAATTAAGACTCCCAAGACTGCACTGTAGTAAATTTTCCAATGTCAGTGAACTTCCTGAAGGCTCTTGATAGCCAGCCAGCTGGCCCTCACAGGTGACATAATTAGAATGATGAGCTGCACAGAACTTAGAGCCACAGCATTTGCATCCCTCCTAGTGAGTGGAAACTCAGCAGTGGGAGACACCAGAATCCGTCTAGTTCAAACAGTATATTGCGTACAGCCAGGGATTACTTAAAATAACCTGAAATTTTAAATTAGTATATTGTAGTTAGGGCTCAAATACTCAAATGACCTTTGTAAAATGCTGATCTGAAAGTGTCTTGCCAGCGCACAGCCCAGAGGATGGAGATGATAATACATTTAAGGTACCATGGTTATTTTTAATAGTTAAATTATTGTTTTGTACAAAGATATTCTGGGTGAAAGAACCCCTCCCCCCTTTTCTGTATCTATTATACTAAGAGTGAGAGTTTTGTTTATTAAAGGAGAAAACTCTACTTTATAACGCATGCTAATAATCCCTTTTTTTATTTTTCTGTGATGGCACAAACCTGTTAAGCCCAGCACTCAGGAGGATGAGGCAGGAGGAGCGCCCAGCCTGAAGTGAGTTCGAGCCCAGCCTGAAGTGCATGGTGAGACCTTGTCTCAAAAAGAGAAAAAAGAAAAAAAAATCCCTTTTTATGTTAGCACTTCTAAATGATATTAAAAGAAAATTAATATCAACATTAGGAAGATAGCCTGGGGATTTAGCTCACTGGCATAAGTGCCTGCCTGGAAAGTGCACAGTTGTGAGTTTGATCCCTGGTACAAAAAAAAGACATTAAGAAGATAACAAAAATAACACTATACACAATTTAAAACCTTGTCAGTATAATGCTTATTTGGCTAAAATGAAATAAAAGCAGAGTTTATTGACGGATTTGGGGAAACAATTATATGATCATTCCCTTCGCTAAATAAAAATTTAAAAACATCCTTGAGAAAGTACATCTTTTCTTGTTTTTCTTCCCTGTGCCTCTTTCCCAGGCTCTGGGGCAGTGTGGTGTTCCAGAAAGATGCCTGACCTGCCCATTTTATTTGAAATACACAAGAAACTGCACAGTGTGTGCGGGTTGGTTGTTCAGTTCTTTGTTTTGGTTTTTTAGACAAAGTCTCACTCTATAGTTCAGGCTGTCCTTGAACTCATGGCAATGATCTTGTCTCAGTGTTGGGATCGCAGGCATGCACTAGACATGGTGTAACATGAAGCAGTAAGAAGAAATGCTAGTGGATAATTTAGATTTGTGATAGGTAAAGTAGGAGGGGAAAGTATTTAAATCCTCTTTTACTGTGTGGTGTCATGTATAACCAACATACTGGAGCAATGAGAAAGACAGAAAGAGACAGAGACAGAGAAAGAGAGGAGGGAGGTGCTGGACATGCTGAGCTGCATCCTCGTCCAACCCATACAACTGAAAGGAAGCAAATAACTATTTTGTTCCTCCATATTGACAAACTGGCCTAATTTAAAGTACTGTGAGCTAGAATAGAAAAAAAAAAATGGACCATTGTATCTTTTCCACTGACTTGGAAAGCTAAAGAGCCTTGGAAAGTTCTGGTCATTTTTAAAGACGTAAGACATTTGGCTCTACTGAGTCATTTTTCAAGCCTGCATAGTAGTTACAGACCTTATTAGAAAATTGGCTCGAATGAATGTGCTAACAGTTTAAAGGGAACCACGTCTATTTTTGTTATGTTTCAGTTTGTTATATTTTTAAACTGCCAGCATGGTTTTTCTATTTGGAGAATTATTAGTTACTACAGCTTGGGATAAGTACAAATCCTCTAAATAAATGCTTGCCAGATGTTTCCTTTGTGTTATAACTTGCATAGTCCAGTGATCATTTATCTTACTATGTTTCTTTTTTCAAACAAGAGAAATACCATTCGTTATGTAGCTTTGACTGGACAATAAAATTTTCCATAGTTGTAAAATGTTCTGTAGTTCAGTAAGATAAACATAAAATACAGAATTATTTTAATGTGAAAGTAAAACTGTTCAATGTTGAGAAACATTATCCTAGGGAATGCTGCAAACATTAGCTGTTTCTTTGTATTTTGAGACAGGATATAATTCAGGCAGGCCTTGAACTCACTATGTAGTTCACACAGTGGCCTCAGATTCCCAGCAATCCTGCCTCAGCCTCCCAAGTGCTAGAATTACAGGTGTGCACCACCATGCCTGACTTGATATGATTTTTAAAGTAGTTTAGACAATGGTAGGTGTTTGCAATGGTTACTTTCTTGCTGCATACCTTTACATACTGTAATTTTTGCCTGCTAAAGTAAGATAACTAAATAGAGACCTTGTAGCTCAGATTCATTGCACACTTGGTACCACTGTTCTAAACTGTTTACTTATCTATCAGTCTTACATTATTTGTTATTCCTCACAACAGTCCCATGAGATAGAAAGCACAGATTTGGAAGTAGTAAATAACTTGCTGGAACCAAAAAATGATTGAGCCAAGATTTGAAAGCAGGCGGCCTGATTTCAGAGCTTGTCCTGTTAAGAATTTCAAATCTATGGGGCTGGGGATTTAGCTCAGCGGCAAAAGCGCCTGCCTTGCAAGCAGGCAGTCGTGAGTTCGATCCCTGGTACCGATAAAAACGACAAAAACGAAAAAGACAAAAAAAAAAAAACAAGTAAGAATTTCAAATCTATGAATATCTAACGTGCTACTTATGCAAGTATTATTTTGTGAGGTTGCTTTATTTACTTATTTACCTGTATATTTTTAAAACATTTCCAGTTTTCATCACATATAACTGTGTGGTTTCATAATCTCCATTCCTAATGCATTCATTAACATTAGATTGTTCAATCAGTTCATAAGCCGAGCACAGTGGCACACTCCTGTGATCTCAAACTCAGGAGGCTGAGGCAGGAGGATTGCTCTAAGGAATGGCAGGAGGCAAAGGCCAGCAGAGAGTACCAGGTCAGTGTGAAGGCACCATGGCATAGAATTTACTCTGCCTGGGGGCAGGCAGACAGAGGGTGAAAAGATTGTCTGTGGGGAGCAAAGAGAAGCAGGCTTTTTGATAGGGCTCAAGAGGCAAGGGACACTAGGTGGGAAGATCTTAGTAAACATCTGTCTTAGTTACTTTTTGCTCATCGCTGAGACAAAATACCTGAAGCACATACTGAGTACTCAAAAATATGTCTGGAAACGAGAAATGGGTCAAAATAAAGAAGGCTGTAGTTCACCGTGGCTTTAAAAACACAAATCATTTCTTTGAGAAATGGGCACAGTGTAAAGAGGACAAACTCAAAGTAAATGAAAAGAATCAGTTGCCTGAAGGACAGTCACACTCTAGTATCAGAATCTCCTGTCCCTCCCTTGCTGGAGAGATCAATAGTGTAAGAGGAATTAATGGGACATCAATTAAGGTTCTATTAGGAAGTCAGGATGATGCCACTGAAATAGGAAGCACAAAGAGAATCTGCTGAGTTATTGCCACCTGTGTTTCTGAAGGACCAGGGTCTTTCAGAAACATCCGCCAGCTGTCTGGGACCCTGCCAGAGCCTGAGCAGAGAGGCCATCAGCTGAAGGACATATGGACCCTGTAGAGATACCGCGTGAACACTGCATAGATTGGGTCCTAACAAGTATGTAGTCTCCGTTAGAGTATTCTGGCGCAATGGAGAAGCAAAAGTACAAAATGAACAGTTTTATTGAGTTGAGGACAACCCACGGTGGCTGGGCATCTCCTTCACCCAGGTACAGAGAGGCATAGTTGTAGAACCTCTGATTGAAGTGGCACATGGGGTGGATATTGAAGACGTGTGAGGAACCCACTGGAATTCTCTGTGCATGCAAACAGGCTGGGGAGTTGCGATTAGGGCTGAAGAGGAAGCAGGAAGTGGTAAGCATTCCTGCTTTGGCCTTCCACCACATTAGACTCCAGCCATAACTGTACAGTGATTTATACTAGGGCAAAACTCTTTCAGTCTCCAACAGGGGAGAGATTACATTGCCTACACAAAGGTAAAGGCTCCCTTCTAAGTCTCTTAAAAGGCCTTCTACAGAGAACCCTTGTGGGTATCCTACTCAGAATCCCTCCCAGCTAATGATGGCTTTACTTCCTTGCTTTTGTCTCTTTTATTTTCTTGTCTTTATAGCTTTTTGGAACATCACTCTGGCCTTCTGATGACATAACTAGGAGCTTGACAAGGATTCCAGAAGAAGGTAAGAGAAATCTTTGTTTTCCTATGCCCTTTCCTTTGGCTTTACAGCTTTCTGTTAAAACAATATCAAGACCCCATTGACTAATTAGTCAACCTGGCAATTAACCCGCTGCTGATCTTGATCTCTCAAGGGATGGGTTTCACTGATGTGGGCCGAGCCAATGTTGATCCCTGTCTAACTAACATGCATGGAGGGAGCTCCAGTACCAGTCTTGTCTCAGATTTCCTTCCTGATTTCATCCTTCTGTTGGCAAGAAAGTGATCTCCATCCTTGTGCTCTTAGCTCTCTGTGGCTGGCACTCCTTAGACATATTGCTTCTTTAACTTGGTACAAGCACTAGAGGGAACAGACCATTTCTTTTTTTTTTTTTTTTTTTTTTATCTTTTTGAGACATAGTTTCACTATGCAGTTCAGGCTAGCCTTGAACTTACTTTGTAGCCCAGGATGACCTTGAATTTGCAGAGATCCTCCTGCCTCGACCTCTCGATTGTGGAATTACACTGCATACTGCCCTGTTAAAACACCTTTTTCTATCATGACTTCCATTCTTGGCAAGTCATACCAAAAAGTAAGAAGGATTCTACATCTTTTTGTCTCATCTTAATTGTCTGGTTACGCTCTTGTGGGCCAGGGTCAGATAGATAAAAGCCATTAATGTTTCAACCTTTTCAAAAAACTCCCATAAAATGATGACTAGGTCGTGGGACAGAGCATTTTAGGCTCACCAGGCTCAAGACAACTCCCATGCATCATCAAGGTTTATATTTTATGTCCATGCAACAGAACAGTAAAATGTCCTTGTCATCATGTTTCTCTGAACTCTGAATGGTTTGCCCTGATTGCTTCTGAGCTCTGAGAGTTTTTCATTTATCTCCCTTCTGAGCCACATTCTTCCTGTCAAATTCCTCGTCTTCCAACACTGTCACCTGTCAAATTGATCTCTAAGCTTCCTAAATGTCAGATAACTGGTGACTTTAAATAAGACCACAGCTTTCATTTCTAAGGTCAATAGGGAAAATGACTCTTGAGTGGTATGCAGTCCTGACAGATAGCACAGTTGGGATCAACTCCTCTCTAGAGATACCAGGCTTGGCAGACTTCAGGAAGTTAACAAGAGCCCACTGGGACAAACCTTGGCTGATAAATTAAATTTTAGATTTCAATTTGTTAGTGTCTTTTTTTCTTTCCCAATTGACATTCTTAAAATATTTCTTGTACATTGGCATAATTCTTAAACTACAGTTACAGGGTTAACTTGCTCTTCTACTGCTTTCTGCTTGGGCTAAGACAAGGATGCTACTTGAAGCCACTTAGAGGTCTGTTGGTCAGCCAGCCCTAATTAAAGGTAAATACCTGTACACTCACTCTAGAGCAAAAGGAAAAAACTATACTCAGGGCTGGGGATTTAGCTCAGCAGTATAAGCGCCTGCCTGGCAAGCAAAAGATCATGAGTTTGATCCCAGGTACAAAAAAAAAATTTTTTTAAAGTATACTTAGAACATTTTAAAATCGAAACAACTGCTAGACTCATTACAGAAAGGAATGAGTAATATGAAAAATACATTTAAAAGTTGTAAACATATAATTTTTGTAGGGGAAGATTTTATATGATAAAATCTCCTACCAAGATAAGGAAAAAAGGGTATTGGCAAAACTAAAAGGTTCAAGTGTGTCAAGAAAGGTTTATGTAGGATAAAATTTATTTTTAAAATGTCTGGTTGTTTTAAGATTTTTACTCTTATTGGTTTAGTTGAGCCTGGTCTGTTATGTTCCTTCTGAACCTCCTTGTTGCTCAGAGGTGGCCACAGGGCTGTAACACTGACTCTCAAATCTACAGTCAGGCTGAACGTGGAGGCTCGTACCTGTAATCCCAACCTTCAGGAGAATGAGGCAGGAGGATTGCCATGGGTTTGAGGCAAGCTTGGGCTACATAAGCAAGTTCAAGGCCAGCCTGTAGTACACAGTGAAGCCTTTTCTCAAAAAAAAAACAGAAATCTTCAATCACTGCTCCCCAGGTCCCAAGTCCCTTCTATAGTCTGACTGTCAGCAGTGGGCCTTCTTTATTGCCTCCTGTGCTGGGGATGCAAACACAAGGGATACTGACACTGAGTGAAATGTCCTGTCTTCTTAGCTGGAGGTGATGTAAGGGTGCACATCCTAGAAACAGCCTGACATGCAGATGACCACCTAGGTCTAGTTGAAAGCTCTGGTTTGGTTCAGGTTTGATGGTAAATGTAGTTCTAAAAACATAAACATGTTACATAGCTGTATGCCTAGCTTCATAGGTGCCAGGACTGTCTCACCTTAGACTTGACTGGCCTTTGGCACATAACAGAGGGTTTTAAAAACCTTGATTTTCAATTTTACTTACAGAGGTATTTCAGTTCTTCTTGATAAAGGGAATCCAACTTTTGACCACAAACAAAGGACTTCATGGACACAAGAGAAGGCAAAATGTGTGTTGATTAAAATGACTGCTCTGGGGGCTGGGGATTTAGCTCAGCGGCATAAGCACCTGCCTTGCAAGCAAGCAGTCATGAGTTCGATCCCCAGTACTGATAAAAAGGAAAAAGACCAAAAAAAAAAAAAAAAATGACTGCTCTGATAGCTCACCCCATCTTGATCCCAGTTTGTAGGTGCTAGCACCTAGGATCTCATAGTGGCTAAGTGATGCCTTGGTGGGCAGTACTTCAACTGAGAAAATAAGAGATCCTTTTTCTCCCTCTGATGTTTTTCAAAAAAATAAAAACAAAGAGAAAGAAAATAAAAGAAAAGAAAAAAATCTTGGTCTCAGGTCTCATCACTCCTTAAAAACTAGGACTACTAGCACCCCTCAGAAACTAGGACTCCTTTGACTCTCAGACCCCTCAAAATCACCACTAACTTTTTGCACCCACACTGGCACTCTATCCAGAGACAAAATGAGAAGAGGGCCTCAACCCCAGTTCTACAATTAGAAAAATAGTCCCTTAAAACATCTCTAATTCTCTAACCCTAATGGCACAGGGCTCTTCCTGGGCTTCTTAGATTCTGTGTCTATACTGTCTCCTTCCAGTATATATGGGACTACAATGAAAAAGGTACAAGCTCCTCACTGAGAACAAACTAATGGTGTCTACAAATACTCTCTCTTAGCTGGGGACTTAGATCAGTGTTGTAAGCGCCTGCCTGGCAAGCGTACAGTCATGAGTTCAATCCCTGGTACCAAAAACAGATAAACTCGAAAACCTCTCCTATTTCTCCTTTTGTTTAAAAAATACTATAGCTGTATGAAAACATTTGATCTATGTTAAACTAAAGGACTCCAAAAATTGTACCCAGGATTATCTCTCTCCCAATATTTGGGCCTTGTACTCAATAAGACCTTGTCTTCCTGTTTTCTCTTTTCACTTTTATCTCCCAAAACATTACATGTTCAACCCCCCCCCCCACCATCAAAGCCTTCCCTCTGTACACAAATGACAGGTTTTCTGGGGCCAAACCTTCCTCCATAAGCCCATGGACACCCTGGGACCCCAGTATCTCCCCCACCTTTAAGTTTGCCCAGGTACAGTGCAAAACCACTGTCTCTCTCTCTCAGAAGAACTGACCTCTATTTCCTCTGTAGGAAACTCTTACATCATATTTACCCTTTCTCATAGAAAGGAGGATGTACTGTCACCAGCAACTCCCTGACATTAGATTCTTTAGCTAATCTACCTCCCCAACATCTAAACCCATCTCTAATCTGGCTCCTTCCCAGAAAAGTCACTCAGTCTAGATTCAAGAGGTCCCTCCTTAAATCCTTATGGGGGGAGCCTGGACTCTTACAGGAAACTTTATACAGTACTGACACTCTTGCTGCTCCTCTGCATTCTCCTCGGATCACTCAGTCTCTTTGTTTGCTTTGTTTCCTCTCAACTAGAGGCTATTAAATTTCTGATGGCCATGCAGTCAGAACCCACCAGGGAGATCCCACCTGACTTCTATCACAGGACCTGTACTTTTAAATATTATACTCCTGCAGTGTTTTAATGTGAAAGATTGATAACGTTTGACATTCTAGGAACTAGAACAATTCTGTATGTTTAAAGTATTATAAAGAGATAATAAATGTGAATGTAAGAAAAATAGTTCCAAATTACTTGCCAAAGGGTTAGCAAAACACTTTCAGTTCTGCAGAGCTGATTTCCAACTTAGTATACTGATTTCCAACTTTAATATAACAAGACAAACTATAACATAACAGTCATTTAAAATGGAAAGGAAATCTGATTAGGTTAATACTGTCACTTACTTGTTGCTTTGCTAAATGGCTTGGGCTGGGTGCTTTGCTAAATGTTTACACCCATATCTTATTAAGTTTTGACTGTAACAATAGGAAGCATTGCCATTATGTTCACTTAGCAGAAAATGGGGTTTGTAAGAATTGAGTGACCTGTCTAAGGTCACACAGCAGACAAAAGATGTACCCAGCATTTTACTAGGTTAACTTCATTACATTCTCAGCAGTGAGAAGAGTCTTACAGCTATGAAAAATGTTCAGTCCGGTCTAAATAAAACTTTATTTTCTTACCCAATTCAAACTGCCTGTGCTCTGCTCCCTGATTTGTCCCTCTCCTACTACAGCTGGCAAACAGGGACAAGAACAGAGGACATGGAACATGGTCAGACATTTTATTCCCTTTCTTGGTCAATCTCTGCTGTTTCTTTGCTCCATGTGAGACAGGTTAGGGTGGGGGGAAACCAGCTGAGCAATGGGGCAGGACCTGTGGATCAGGGACACTCAGATCACAGGCCCAGAATACAATTCCCAAAGGCTGCACCTGGGGTCAATCAGAAAGTCCTGTCTTCAGTTCTTCATTTATATCTGGCTTGAAACTGAGCAGACCATTGATAGGACAGTTTAGGTTTGATGTCAGGCCAATGAGCTTCTGACAGGACAGTGGTCCCCAATGCTTTATTTGCAGAGGAGAAAAGTAATCTAGGACAAGGGGGTGTAAAAACTCCTGGCGTTTAACCCTGTGGCTGCTGGAAGACTTTTCTCACTGGCCTGCTCTGACTCTGAAGAATGTATATCTTTTTTGCCCTCAGTAAATGTAAATCCTCACTCACTACCTTTTTTAGGTATCTTATCCAGTTCTTTGCTCAGGACACCAAAAATCTGAAGAGAGTTTCTCTGGGACCCAAGAGGCCCGAAACACATGGCAGACATTGCACACCCTTGCCTGGCCGATTGGTGGAAGGATAACTCATTCCTATGGCAGACTTCCCTCCTTGCCTTCATGCAAGGGGTGGCTTTAGGCTGCCCTGGTCTGAAGATTTTCTAGACCCTTCAAGCTGCAGTGAGACCCTTGTCAGGTTCACCCCAAAACTCACTTGCCTTCTACCTCTATAGTAACACAGGCAGCAATCTTACACATCCCTCCAGCCCCGTAAGCATCTGGCCATGGAGTAAAGCCCAGCATCCTTTCAGGCTCGCGCCCCAAGTTTACTAACTGCTTCCTTTCACTTGTCCTGGTCCCTTGTGGAAAAGGGAAGGGATGCTACCATGCTTCCTCTTCTTGCGAAGGGTCCCTGGAGATGCCTCCGCCTTGATGAATCTCTGGCCTTACCCGTGATAGGCTGTTGGGAGTGATGGTTGCTGGTCAGAAAAATGAGCTCTACAGACGTTGAGTCCCTCTTTAAAATGTGGGGCAGCTTCTCACCCATCGGTGCCACGGCTAGATTTATTCTAAAACGTTAGATAACAGGAACATCCTAATCTAGATCCATACAAAAATTTTTAAGATTTATTCTTTAAAAAGTAGTGTTGCTAATATATAGGATTTTTTGTGTATTTTAAAATGAATAATTTGGAGAAATTCACATTTAAATACTCGCTGGACATTTTTTTTTTCTTGTATTAGCAGAGTTAAGTAAACATCACACACAACAGCTAACAAATTCTTGTCTCATTCCTTCAAGAAGGCTGGAGTGGGCTATCAAATACTACCTCTAACAGAAGTAAGAATGAAAATATTTCTAAAAACAGCAGAAGATAAGGAGACAGAAATATATCAACTAAATTATTTACAAATCAATGGAAAAATGAAGATACCATCTTCTTTAGCATTTCAGTATTTGAATTTAGATCTGTCTACTTGTTTATTTCCCATGTTTTATTGACTACAGCCTGTTCCATTGTAATTGATGTGTGGAAGTCTGCGTATATTTTTTAATTAATGGACTTAATTACAATTGCTGGGTAGAGAACCACATAGTCAATACCTCAGTAAACTAGAATTAGAAAATGAAAAGAAGGCCTCCTGACTCATGAAGAAGTCACCAGAGAACATTTTTATTTTGCTCCCAGATAAAGTAGGAGCAAATAATAAACTAAAAACTGCCTGGTGATGAATCAGTATCTATGTTTAAGTGTGAAGGGGGAAAATACCTCTACTGTTGCTTCGAGATGAGCTAAAATAGACTTTTAAAGTGAGCTGGATGCTTCTGAGTATGTACGATAACGAATCGACTAACTCATGGTAAACTTTCTCTAGACAGAGCTGGTCAAGTGTGCCTCCATCTAAGTGTTGCAATTCAAAATATGTGCACCTCGCAGAGCTCCAGCCTCACACTAGGACAGATACTTGTGGGGGAAAAGAAGGGAGGGAGAAATGGAAAAAGGAAAGGGAGGAGGAAGAAGTGGAAAGGAAGAAAAGGAAATTGTTTTTTATTACTTCATCAGCTGAGTAAATTGGCTAATGATCTTTTCATGGTGTGGTTAAAATGTTGATTTTAAGGGTAATTATGCAAACGAAGTAAAAGTAAGAGTTTAATAAAAACCACAGAATGGTAATAATTGAAAGATGAAAACATAATGTGAATTTGAAAAAGAAATGTTGAGCAGTTAAGGTTTTGTGTTACTGTTTTTTTTTTAAACTCTGGCAGCGTTAATTAACCTGGTAGTATTCCAGAATAGCAAGCTCTTGATTGTTCTTTCAGAAATCCCATTTTCCGAGCCATTTGAATTTAATTACAAATGTAGTTAAACACAATGACACACTAATTAATAGAAAGCAGACTTTCTTCCATGAAGAAATTTCATGTGGACTGTGAGGAGATGGGAAGAGGCCCTGGGTGGTGGAGAGCAGGAGAGAAAGGGAAGTAAAAATTACATGTCTGTGTAGCCATGTATGTGTGCCTCGGAATGTATTCTAATAAAAAGAGCAATGCAACGGACGTTACAGTTGAGAGGGCCGAGAGTAGTCGAGGGTCGTGTGCAGGACCGGGAAAGGCTGCAAGGCACCCTCCCAGTGTGCAGTAAGGGGCTACATTTATGGGAGATCACTGGACAGGACCAGGAACAAAGGATGGGCAAAGGGAAAAAGATGAAGGAAAAAGAGACTCATTCAAAGGCGGAAAAGGGCTCCAGCGTGACAGGAAAATAAAAAGGGCTTCCGTTACTTCCAGGGTCAGACACCGCTGACCCCAGGCACCTCCCACTGTCGCTGTCTGACGTCAGCAATCTGCACGACCTTGTCAATTTAAACTGGGTGACTGATGACTTTGCGTTCCCCCATGTTGAAGAATGAATTCTAACCAAGGGAGGAGGTTAAGCTTAGGAAAACTTGTTGGGGAGTAGGCATAGCTCCTGAGGGACAGAAAGGGCCCCAAATGGATCCCCAATGAAGAATGAAGCCACTCCTTTGAGGTTTTAAAAAGCAGAATTACAAGGAGTGTACAATGTGGGTGAAAACTATAATCAACCAATAAGATTATAAGTATAGCCACTTGCCTGATATTGCAAGGGTGTATGGATGACATCATTAACCTGGGTCAGTAATCTAGTTTTAGTCTTGCGTTTAGTCTTAGTAGTACTGGTATTAGTTTTAGTACGGTTCTGATGTGTTCTCATCTTCGGCACTGACTCCCTCCAAGGCCTGGCCCTGTCTGACTGCTCATAAAATGTCTACCGAAGTTAGCTGTCTATAATACTGGGGTGGGGGGTCCCACATGGAACTGGCATCTTTTTTCTCTCTGTAGCACAGGAGAGACTGTGCAAAGTGCCACACAATATTCACAAAGTTCATTCTGTACAAACTCAGCTCAGGGTTTCATGCAAGTCAAAGACTGAAGTCAGGAACCTCAAGGATGAATTTAGGTGAGTTTTCATTGAAAAGAAGGAGAAGGACAAGACAAACGCCACCAAGCAGAAAGACTCCTGGTTTCTCGAGGAAGGAAATCCAAAAAGTCGAATTTCCACAAGTCCTGTGGGTTCAGAATTTTTTATGCATAAGTAGAGCACGGGAATTGCTCAGTTGTTTACTGACCACCAGTCAGAGGGCTCTGTGGGTTTACAGTGACCAATCAGAACTCAGGCTCCCTAACCCATTTGTTCAGTGTGCGAGTTTAAAGGAAACAGGTTGTAAAGAAAAATTAGTGATCTTGCATTTGAAATTTCTGGAATTTCAGGAGCTTAGTAGAGAGGGGCTGCAATTCCCATTAGTAGAGTGGGGGGCTACTTTTTTTTGGTACTAGAGATTGAACTCATGACTAATGCTTGCCAGGCAGGCACTTACACTGCTGAGTTAAATCCCAGCCCCTGCCTACTCTTATTTTAATTCTTATCAATATAGCTGATCACCCAACTCTATCTCAGGTCCTTTCCCTAGCATAAGGTAACTAAATAAATTATCTCTTCACATTACTATGTTGATAATTAAAACTTTTTGTTCACAGAATACAGACTCTATTAAGAATTCAGATTCATTTAAGAATCCCTGCTGAATGGCCTTCCTTCCTTCCTTCCTTCCTTCCTTGCGTGCTTCCTTTTTAAGGAAGAGGTTTATCTTGGCTCATATGAACAGGCCTTCTTGTGTACCTGGTTAAGGTCTGTGTCAGACATGACATTTAAATTGAACAAAATACATGTAATCTTGAATTTAAGAAGGATACCATCTTCCAAAGAAGAGAATTATTACAAATAAATCAACAGAGAAAGCAGGAGATTGCAAAAATCTTCTGAAAGAAGAAAAAAAAAAAAAAATAAACCAATTTTCCAGAACCCATAGCAGTAGGGAGGCAGACTCCCACTGAGGGTTTAGCAAACTTCTCTAAGGAGCTTGTGCTTAATCAAGCCCAGGTCCAGGAGTTATTCAGGCTGTTCTTGTTTGAGAAGAGAATTGTTCCTACCAAATAGGACAGTGTGTAACATGTAGGGGCCACTGGGCCTGGAATGGGCAGGGCAAGGGGAAAGTGACAAGGTAGGGCTGAGGCCAGAGATCAGGGCGTGGCTGGGTTTGTTTCTGTGGACTGCTAAGAGGCTTTGCCTTCACTAATGTGGATGGGCATCATCCAGTCTACGGAAGGCTCAAATAGAACGAAGAAAGACAGGGAAAAACGTGAACTCGCACCCTTCCTGAGCTGGGACATCCAGCTCTTAGACACTGGAGCTCCTGGTTCTCAGGTCTTTTGACTTTAGGATTTATATCAGGGCCTGCTACAGTTCTCAGGCCTTTGTCTTCAGGCTAATCTACATGGCAGGCTTTCCTGGTTTTCCATATTGCAGTAGCTCCCATAAGGCTTCTTGGCCTCTAAAATCAAGAGCAAGTTCCTATAATAAATGTCCACTTGTGTACGCATATGTCTGATCAGTTCTGTCCCTGGAAAACCCCAGCTGATACTTAGTCTTCCGTTTGTGCTCATTCTCAGTGCCTGGCTCTCCCTGGACCAGGTCTAAGTCATTCCAGCCTGACTGTCTCTCCCCTGAACTCAGAATCTCTGTAGAGTAATTAACAAAAACCGTTTGAAGGAATTCATCTCAGCTTGGGAAATTAAAATGATAGCTTGCATTCCAGCGCCTAATGCTATCCTGGTTCCAGCCCTGATTTCAGGTCTCAGACTCTAGGTTTTCATTTTTCATCTCAGTGAAAGCCCCACAGGAGATTCGCATTTTCCTTAAAATGACCATCATGAGCCTCAGCCATTTGCATTAGAGAAAAATCAGCATAATTGAATGAAAATCTTTTTAGCTCTAAACAGTGATCACACTTTGGTCTCGAGTTGTAACGAATCTCTCATTAGATGAATTTCTTGTCCATTTCCAACTCTATGACATCTTTAATGTTTTCTTTATGTCACAAAACTGACTTGACAGTTGGAATGCACTTCCTGAGCTGGAAAATTTGAAATCCTTAGCCACAGTTTTCTCTCTGTGTCTTTTTATCAGTCTTCCTAGGAAAAAGAGAAAACTGGTATAGTTCGTCTTTGTTTTATTTGATTGACATTTTTGGTTTTACACATTCTGCTATTCTCCCTTCTTTCAAACAGTGGTTCCCAAAATGTGTTCTACAGAACACCAACTCCACAAGATGTTTCCCAGTAAAAAGTCTCAATTGCTACATAAAGATGAATGGAAATAAAGAATTTGCCCCTCTCTCAGGGTTTCAGAGAACACTGCAGCATCCTAGGATTAGAAGAACTTTACAAAAAGCGCTGTCTAGTCCAGGCTGGCCTTGAATTCACTATGTAGCCCAGGTTGGCCTCAGAATCACAACAATTCTCCAGCCTCAGCCTCCTGAGTGCTGGGATTACAGGCATGAATCATCATGCCCAGCCCAGTGCTTGCAAAACATATCCAAGAACTAGGATTTTGTGGAATTCAAATTCAAGCGGCATTTTTTTCCTTGTCTCTGTGCTGTCTGTTAACATTCCAAGCAGTAGGGTAATCTTTTCCTTTCTTTTCTCCTGCTTCAAATATACCTTAAACATTCTTTTTAAGAATTTTGAAGGCTTCGGTCTGTCCCAGATTGTGCCACTCTTCGGGATTTAGTCGAAATTTGATTCTTTTTTCCTTTATTTTTTGGGGGTTTTTGTTTTGTTTTGTTTTTGAGATAGAATTTCTCTATATAGTACAGGCTGACCAACTTGCTTACGTAACTCAGGCTGGCCTCAAACTCACCGCAATCCTCCTGTCTCGGCCTTCTGAGTGCTGGAATTACAGGCATGCATCACTACACCCGGGTAGGTTTAATTCTTGAAATACCTCTTAATGACATGTTACCACACTCTGAGAGCAGCCACAGTGTTTATGCTTCATTTTTTTATTCAATTCTTTATGCATGCATCTTTTGATTGTCCCTGAATTTAGGAATGAGTTTCAGTGCTGAAACCCCGCATTTTGCTCAGGTTGGTATTTGCTGGCATATGCACACACAAACATGTAGAAAAAACATGTTTTGCTCTAAGGTTGCTTCAG